AATCATGGGGAATAAGCCAGAAAACAATACGCATTTTGTAGCCCTTCTGCTTGTTGAGTGTCACTTTACCTTACATCAGTGTAAGTACAGGTCACTATAATTGAGCTACACTTGGTGTGATTAACGTTCACTGATAGGGCCACCGAGATAGACCAAACACAGCACCCAGTGACACCATCAACACCGTTCTGTTCCATTTCCAAAGGCAAGTCTGAGATACCCTAATTTAGGGAAGGATTTTTTGCATACAATCAAGCACAGCCTCTTTTAAAGAGAGAAGGTGAGGAACAACTGAAAGTTCTCTCTGTGGGTGCTTGGGGTGGGGGTGGGGGGGGGGTGTATGTGCTCTTGCCCAGAGCAGAAACTGAAACAGAGCATTTAAAAATCTACCAATGGCTATTGCTTAGGGCAGTGGAATCCCACTCCCTCCTCCCTCCTCACCCTGCCCCTGTACCCTCTCCCCTTCTTTCTTTTTTTCTCTCTCTCTCTCTCCCCCCCCCCCCCCCCCCCCGCCCCATCCCCCCCCCAACCCACTCCTATTCCCAAATTAGTTAATTGGCTTATTTCTGAGGTGTGACTAAACTGAAACATTCTTGCAGAGAGTGATTTTTCTTTTTCTTCTGCCTCTGGAAGAAATCAGAAGCCCGAAGAATTCAGAAGAAAAGGCAGCTGACTAAACATGGGGCTGGGGCTTGGTGGAGCTGATTATAAAACCTTAGCACCCTGGGAAAGTGTGCAGGTTTCTTTATATCCTGATGTGTTTGTAATTCTCTACTGTCTGAACTGTATTAGAAACTTCAATTGACTAAGCTATTATCATCACAAAACTAATCAGGAATTACCTCTGTTGAAGAAGAATACATTCTTGAAGCTTTTTAGGATAACTATTATTTTGAACGAATTTCAAACTTACAGAAAAATTACAAGAATAGTACAAAGATCTCCTAGAAACATTCTACTCAGATTCACCAATGTTAACATTTTGTCCTACCCACCCTCCCACTCATGCCCCCCCCTTCCCGTTAGCGTATTTTGATACATTATTTCCCTTTACATTTTAACATTCAGTATATATTTCTTAAGGGACATTCTCTAACATAACTACAGTGCAGTTATCAAAATCAGAAAATTTAACATTGATATGATTATCCAATCCACAGTCATAATCAAACTTCATCAATTAACCTAAAATGTCCTTCTGAGCTATTTTTCTCAATCCTGTATCCAGTCTGAATGCATGCATTACATTTAATGTTATGCCTTGTTAGATTCCTTCAAACTGGAACAGTCCCTTAGCCTCTCTTTGTCTTTCATAACCTTGATATTTTTGGAGAGTACAGTTATTTTGAGAATGTCCCCCAGTTTTAGTTTATCTGACTTTCCTCATGATTTAAAAATGCAGGTTAAGCATTTTTTTTTTTTTTTTTTGGGGTCAGGCATTTCACAAAAGTGGTGCTGTGTCCCTCTCAGGAAATCCTATCAGGAGACAGATTCCATTGGTTTGACCATTATTAGTGATGCTGTCATTGATCACTTGCTTGAGGTGGTACCTAATACTTCCTCCACTGTAAAGTTACAATTTATCTCTTTGTAAGTAATTTCCAGAGATTCTTTGAAACCATTCAGATACACCTTTCCTCATCAAACAGTCACGCATATGTTTTGGCATCCACTGACAATTTTCTAAGGCCATCATTCCTCCTAAAATCACTAATAGGCAATCTATGTGTGGAAAAAAACCACAACTTTCCCTTCTCCTCACCATCCATAAATATCTATATCTGTATCTATATCAGAGTAAGGATTCATGGATTCTTATTTTAGTCAATGGGTTATAATTTCATTATTAATTTTGACATTCTAATTCTCCCAGATTCGACCATGGTAGTCCACTCAAGTGGGCCGCTGTGTCCTTTTGACTCGTTCCCATGGTTCTTTGAGAACTTGCTTACTTTTGGGCAAAGCAAAGACGTTCCAGGATCATCTTGGACTCTTGCTGACTCATCACTGGAATTGGCCATTTCTCTAAGGAGTCCTGGTTCCTTTTAGTGGGGAGTGGTATTTAGAACTCATCATCTGGGAACTAGCTTTGCTCATTTGCTCCAAGCTTGTCAGTGCTGCTACTCCCGCTCAGCAGAGCGAACTCAGTTTGTATTTTTATATCCACCTACCTATATCTACACACAAAAATCATTGAATTTACACCAAACCTGCAATTATAACTGAATATGGAGAGACATTCTAGTCTTTCCCCTTTCCAGATTTATAACTCTCTTCCCCAACAGTGAGAAACCTGCTTTCCATTATCCTTATTTATTTATTTATTTATTTATTTATTTATTTATT